TAGTGAAATGCAATTTTGAAACGAATAAAATATAATACGGGACTGAATAATATTTAATTCTGGAATGAATAAAATGTAATTCAGGAATGAATAAAATTTGATTTCGGAATGAAAAAAAATCTAATTCTGGAATTAATAAAATGTAATTCTGAAATGAATAATATACAATTCTAGAATTAATCAAATGTAATTTTGAAATGAATAAAATGAAAAGAATAAAAAATAATTCTGGAATGAATAAAATGTATTTCTGGAATTGTTAAAATGTAATTTTGGAATGAATGAAATGTTATTATAGAATTAATCAAATGTAATTTTGGAATGAAAAAAAATAATTCTGAAAAGAATAAAACCTAATTCTGGAATAAATAAAATGTAATTCAGGATGAATAAAATGTGATTCTGCATTGAATAAAATATAATTCTGGAATAATTAAAATATAATTTTCGAATGAATGAAATGGAATTCTGGGATGAATAAAATGTAATTTTGGAATAAATGAAATGTAATCCTGGAATGAATAATATTTAATTCTGGAATTAATCAAATGTAATTTTGGAATTTAATAAAATATAAATTTGGAATGAATGAAATGTAATTCAGGAATGAATAAAATTTCATTCTGCATTAAATAAAATGTAATTCTGGACTGAATCAGAAAAAGAAAAAATAGCCGAATACAATTTTCGTAAGAAAAAAAATTCATAAAGCCAAGTAAGTAGAAACTTAAATCAATCATAATAATTACCGTTCTCTGTTTGAACCTTTGATGGAAAATGGAATAAATAAACGGGCTTGTTTTTATAAGATGGCGATAGCGTGAAAAATTTCCACAAAAAATAGTAAAATAAAACAAAAACAATCAATAACTGAACGCCTCCTGCTATTAAGCAACGACGAGGAGATATTTAAATAAGCAAAATTATGTTTGTATAAGCATAAGATTTCAGAGGTCTTTAAAGATTGTGAGCAGGTGGCGAAATCGTTTTCGTATGTATGTTTCGCTTTTTAACCTTTCCTCTTCGACAGTGAAAATATTTCAGAACAGTAAAAAAAAAAAGAAAAAAGAAGGGAAAAATACGTGATATTGTATTGTAAATGTTTCGCAAAATATGGTTATACAACATTTCTCATGTAGGTTGAAATAAAATGGCTGAATGACTATTCTTCAATCACTGCACACAGTAACTTTATTCCTTCTTTCTTTCTATCTTGTCTGTTCATATCCAGCCAGTCTATCGAAAAGATTTGAGGCTGTTGAATAACCATAATGAACGCCCAATATATATATATATATATATATATATATATATATATATATATATATATATATATATATGTGTGTGTGTGTGTGTGTGTGTGTGTGTGTGTGTGTGTAAAATATATAGAAAATAGGAAAGAACTCGTTAGGTAAATAATCCAAAGTTCTTTAGTATTTTTGTTATTATTTTAAAAATAGTGCTCGATACGAAAGTAGAGCATAAATATAATTATTTATTTAAAAATATGATTCCAACGTTATAAGAGTTCTCATGTTTCAAAACAAGAGCCGAAAATTTCAATATAATTATAGCTTGGTACTTTAATTCAATTTAATTCATATAATTATATTTAAGTTTTCACTTCTTGTTTTGAAACATGAGAACTCTTATGTAGCGTTGGAATCATATTTTTAAATAAATAATTATATATATATATATATATATATATATATATATACAATACAATCCAAAATCACCTCATATGGGGAATAAGCTTATTTCGACAGACGACAATATAATTCGTTAGCCTTATTCAATTCAGGCATGTCCGAAAATTCCTAACCATTTTCTCCGCGCTTCATTTTTGTCTTATGGTTAATATTTCAGAAATGTTTATCGTACTCATTATATTGGTACCCTTTCCTTTGTCCTTGTTTTATTAACGAACTTATCTATATATATATATATATATATATATATATATATATATATATATATATATATATATATGTGTGTGTGTGTGTGTTTGTTTGTGTTGAAAAGTGGACAGTGCAGTCAACACTCAGAGGCAACAGACTATTTCATGCTAAAAGCAATCGTCATTTTAGCATGACTCTGTCGCCTCTGAGTGTTGACTTCAGTTTTGACCGCTTTATCCATAAATATAGCCTACCTTAAATATATTTCTTCATATATATATATATATATATATATATATATATATATATATATATATATATATATATATATATATATACTGACTATCTCGTCGAATTCGGCGTATGAGGGTCAAGCAGATCATTTCCCAGGAAACCGACAGCCCGACAACAGCACATGAGATTTGATTATAGGTGGTGAAGGCCTCGTGCAAGACCATCCACCCTTTTTGAAGGGCCGAATACAGAGACCTGGTCGCCAAACGACCCTCCGCAGGTTTGGAATTCAGAGTTTTCCTTCTCCTAGACTAGTTGCCATCCAAGGCTATAGAACCCAGTCTGTCCTGCTATTTACCCATAGCTGGAGGCAGAAGAAGAGGATTCACACCTTTCCCAAGCGCGTAAGTGAATCTAATGGATTCGACTGGGATTCGAACTCGTCTCTTCGATTCGTCAATCGAAGCCGCTATCCATTACCCCATCGTACCACACACACACACAAAAACACGCGCGTGCGCACGCACACACACACACACACACACACACACACATATATATATATATATATATATATATATATATATATATATATATATATATATATAAATATATTAAGAATTTGTAATCCCAAATATTTATTTAAAGAAGAAACATACATAGAAAAACACATTCAAAAACCTACAATACCCATATCATTTCATCCACAATGCAAGAAGAAAGGCATACAAAATATACAAACGAAACAAAACTAATAACATAATCCGCAATAGTAAATCACATGAAAACAGATACATAATACTACCGACCAATTCTGCCACGTCCACGATCCAGAATAACCTATCCCATCTAAATAATCTTGAAATAGTCACAAACACCTCCAAAACCATTATAGATATACTAAGATCTTCAAACAATAATAGCACTAATATTTCTGAAGCAGGCATTTATAAAATAAATTGCCAAAACTGCTCCTCCCAATATATTGGAGAAACAAGTAGAAGTTTGAAAAAACGCATCTATGAGCACAAAAGAGACCTCACAAAAAACAACTTAGCTAATGCAATAGTCACACATAGAAATAAATTCAACCATAATTTTGATTTTAAAAATACTCCACTCATAAAAAAAAGAAAATAACTCACTCAGAAGGAAAATTCTGGGGAGTGCCGTCATAGAAAATTACCCAAATATTAATCTACGCCCAGATTTTTTCCCTATTTCACCTTTCTTAACAAAATCAATGCTTTTACAAACAAATATACACAACAGATTCATAAAATCAAAAGAAAATGGTTGAATACATCAACACAGATATAATGACAATATTCTCCACACGTGACAAATACTGACGTTATTTTTCAGTTAAAAATATGAAAATAGCATTTCTTTACATTCCAGTTGCTAGGTACATTCTGTTTTTGTTTTTATTAGTTACTTTGTTCATTTAATTTCATTTTCGATAAAGTCCACATTGGACGAAACGCGTCAGCAATTACCAGTTTTCCTATTGTCATTTTTATTCATATATATATATATATATATATATATATATATATATATATATATATATATACGGTGCTGGGTATTTGAGGACATACTGATTTAAGCTTAATACTGCTTCCCACTAACTTCTAATGCTTTTATTTTTCAGAAATCAAGAATGGCAAACCCTATGATAACAAATGAAATGAAAAGGCATGTTGTGATTGTGGCATTAAAGGCTGATCATAACGATTTGGATATTGCACGTTTCCTCAGAGTTGCAAGATCGTTTGTCCACAAGATACGAAAAGAGTTTGAAGATGCTGACAGTTTCCCAATGTCTGTATCAAAACGTAAAAGACATTCTGCACGTTCTGATAAAGTGAGAACATCCGAATTTATTCAGGAAGTCAGGCAGACAATTGATGAAAACTGAGGTCAATCAATGAGGTCAATTGCCAAAAAGCTGCATGTGTCTGAAAAAACAATCAGAAGGTGTGTTCATGAAGACATTCGATACAAGTCCTCCGTGATGAAGAGACGTCAATTTATGTTTGAAAAAAACAAAAACAAAAGAAAACCGTTTAAACAGATCCAAAAGGCTTTTAAACAAACTTAAAAATCCTTCAAAACCTGGTGTGATTTGGTTTTTCTCAGATGAGAAAAATTTTGATCAAGATCAAAAACTTAACAGAAGAAATGACAGATGGCTTTGTTCAGATCCTTCTGAAGGTGCTAAGAGTGATGCTCACAAAATTTCCTTCAATTGTTATGGTATTGGATGTTAAATTATTTGAATTGTTTGCGATGATGGATTTCTCGCCAATTAAATCATTAACCTTTGCTTTTTGTTTTTGTGTGAATAATTCATGAATTTGTAAATTGATTGCACGATTATCGTAATATATATATATATATATATATATATATATATATATATATATATATATATATATATATATATATATATGCAAGGTGAGAATAAATTACAGCGTTCGTAACATTTAATTTAAAGGAGGGCTCGATAAAAAATGCAGCGTTATTTTTATTTTAGGATATTAAATCGAAAATATGCCGAAATCACTACCCAGTCGCAGTCGTGTTTCGATTCGCATACAACGCACCTCATCAGGCCATTTTAAATTACTGGCGAGTGAACTATTTAATCAGATTTAAAAGCAAAATACAGCCTCTTTTTTCAAAAAAAGAGGTGCGTGGTTATAAGGTTTGTGGGCTTTACTTAGGTCAACCAATCAAATTTGAGCAACGTTAACTTCAAACTAATTAAAAAAGGAAGAATTAAGAAATTATTTTCCATAAATGGGTCATGACACGTAAATTTGAAATCAATGACAGCAACAGACGTTGAACAGATAGATA